AGTTCAATTATAATTTTTGTTTGTTTTGAACAAACTTCATGGTCCCAGTTTCTCTTCATATTATTGCTGCTGTCAGGCATCAAACAACTTTAAACTCCATTAAAAAGAATAAATAAAACGTTTTGACAGTTACCTGGTAAAGTTGGACATACTGGTACGATCATAAGACAGAAACCCTGTCGCTGCCAGAAGGAGCAGCAGCAGCTCACATGTTTAAAAATAAAACAGTCTCGTCTCAGCTGGTTTGAATCAGCTGCTCGTTCCTGACAAGCATCATGTGATCAGAAACTGAAAAACAAAGTCTGTGAGAGACGTTACAGTTTGAGCTTCACATTTTTTCCACTTTTTGTTTCTAACAGGCAGAAAATCCACTGAATATTCCCTCAGCTGTCTGTCATCTGCAGCATAGTGCACGAGCAACCCCCCCAATGGGACGGGACAGAAGCAGAAGGAGGTTCTTAAAGAGACAGAGACCAATTTCAAGGCGTTTAGAAGAGGAAGTGATGAGAAGATAAGTTTATTTTCTATTTAAACACAAAAACATCATTTTAATAACAGCTAAAGGAGACATAGATACTTTATTATGGCATAGTATTTAAATATATGCCTGAGAAACACATAATATGGGCCCTTTAAAATGCTCTTTAACTAGCTTTAAAGCAGTTCAACCAGTGTCTCCTTCTTTTTTCCACCTGAAGCCGTGTCTGACAGGTAAGATGCTTTTTTAAGTTTGTAAAAAGCTGCTAAAATCCACCTGTGAAAGAACTCCAGAGGGCAGATTTACAGGACTGTTAGGGGTTAATGTGTAGGTAGCTGAGTGTTTGTGCTTTAACAGGACATCCCATAATTATCTCTGATTGCCTGGAGGACCCCGACTCCCACAAACCCTCAGTCATGCAGCTGTTGAAGCTTAGCTCACACAATCAGACAATATAATTTATCCTGACGAGCCCAACGATGTTCGACTCCAGGTGGAGTAACACCTGAGACAGTGGAGACACCTGGGCTAAATGATGAATGGAAACAGGTGTGAGGGGGCGGGGCAAGAGCTGAGAGCAGAAACTTCCTGGTTTTTGTGAAAAAGTGAGAGGACGGATTATCTGTGGTTAACCAGGAAAAATAATAATATTATGAAGAGTTTAAAGAAATAAAACTACAAATGAATCAGTTCTTATCTGCTGTGAGGAACTATTTAAAAGATTTGGATCGTTTGCAAACATCACATCTCAAAAACAAAATACAGAAAATCAACATTATAACCTGAAAAAGGAGAGATTAAACAAAAAAGATGAGCAAAAACCAACAAATCCAGGATCCTGACTATTTAAAGTGTTCACAGCGCTGAAAAAATTAATTAAAATGTTAGTAAAACTGTTAAAAATATGAGATTAGTGTTTGACCTCTGGATGACTGCTTCAAATTAAATAAATCCTAACCCTTCAGCAGGTGTGTGTCTGCTCACAGTCTGCATCAGTTTAACATCAACCTGAGTCCTCTGAGGTCAAACTGAAAACAAAACGAGGAGCGAAGAACAGAGCCGAGCGTCTGACGGCAGCAGTTTCCATCAGATCTGTTATTTTAAACAGAAAAAGGAAACGAAGACGGGATTTTATATCGCTGCTCCTCCCAAGAGCTGAGTGTGCGTCTGGACCGGGTCGTGTGTTGGACCGGGTCATGTGTTGGACCAGGTTGTTTTATAACAAAAACACCTCTGATCCGTCCTGCCTGAGGCCAAATGCGCAGCAGCTGTGACAGATGTTCGAGTCGAGCTCAAACTGAAAAATTAAGTGAGAAAAACAACAACAACAAACCAACAACTACACTGCGTCTGAACGGCTCCGCTGATATGACCAGGTTCCAGGTTCAGTTAGAAAATACAAAATATTCAATAAACACGATTCACCTTAAAGATAAAGAATCTGAAACCTGTAAAACCTGTAAGTTTATAAACCAAACGAGGATAAAACCAGACAAGGTGCAGGTGTGGAGATTAATAAACTAACCAGGTGTGCTGAGAGGAGGAGCCAGAGCCGAAATAACAAAATCTAACTTCACAACTGCAGCACACACACACACACACACACACACACACA